CGGATTTTTTGGCACAAAATTCACTTATTCATTTGACTAAATGCCAATTCATGATGAAAACCCTTAAATCTAATTCCTAACCTTAATCATCAACTGTAAATCATACTTGTAATTTCACACACTGGTTCATCTGATAACTCCTTTTGTGCATACAACATTTCAGTCACTGACTGATAAAAACGTTTTTTTCCAGCTTGAACTGTTTACTGAAAATTAGTAGGAATAAGTCTGTTATCATTAACGATGATTTATTGTATTATAAGTTGGAGATTAAGTACTTCCATTAAATCAGTGGTATAATAACAAGTGTCAGTTAGTCAGTAACAACGTAGAACTTCGTACGTACATCAGTTCGAGTCGCCATACTACATTACATTAGCGCAGAGATGCAGTTATCGATTCAAATCCCGTAGTGATAGAGGTAGTAAAAGTATCAGCAGTAATCAGAAAGATTATGGTCTGAAGATGTTATTCAAGGAGTATAACCAAGTGAAATAAATTTGGAAGAAGAAAAAAGTGACATGAGAAATTCAAAAGGCTAGAATTTAGGAGAACACAAAGAGTGGATGCATTTGCGTCATTGCAGACTATTTTGAGCCATGTCATTCAGGGTCTCTAACCATCGGTTGCTATCATCTCGCAGTCCCCAACCAGGTAATAACACCTATCAACATGACTCAATTCATTTGTCAGTGTAAGATAAGTATATAACTTTTGACGTGTCTCAGTAATAACTCGGGAAATCCACCTTAAGTTTATTTACTAGTGATCATAACTTTGAATTATCAATAGAAAGTTTGCAGAGATTAGATATAGATCAGATCACAGGTATGATAAATAAGTAATCGATAGTATCGAATCATCTTAACATAATATGGTGTACCAACTAAATTCAGTGATATAAACCATTACATGCCAACTGATATTATCAGGTAAACTGAACTCCCTTCGAAACTTGAAGTTTCTAAGTTCGACATCGTATGGAATTGTGAATTTACTTTGCTAAAGAGTTCCAAGCCAATATTAACTTTTCATTTAGAGCTACCTTATGTTTTAAATCTTCTCTATTTGATACATTTCTTCAATGAGGTGTAAAAAAGAAGAAAGCAGCATCATAAACACAAACTTTGTGGAGAAGTGAATTATCAAAACTTGTCTAATACTATTCCACAACATAATTTGCCTACTACCAATAATAAAGATTTACCGTTGAGTAAAGATGTGAAAGAGAAATAACGTCCTCAATGAAATCCAATCATTATTCAAACTTGATCTGTGATAAATGTGACTCTCGTGTGATCTATCTCGAATAGAGTGGTCGGGTATCATTGCTAGTACTCACAGAAATTGATTCAGTGACGAAGACAACTTACAAACATATAAACATCTTCAGAACTATTATACATTGGTATCAGTGTAGTACGTAGAACATTCGGCAATCTATAATCACATATTGTACCTAATCTCAATAGATTTTCATATAGTTTTTTCAACATTCACATGATTAAAACACAATGTTAATTGTGCTCTAGGTTTTTCTCAACTCGATGGTCTAACTATACAAAATCGTTCACTAGTTAGAGCTAATGGACTCTCTGTAATTAGGTATTCAAGGTAATTAGTTAGTTTGATTGATTTCTCTCCTAAATTATTCATACCACCACATGATTTGATATTACTGATACTGACTGTTAAAGCTGCACCTAATAATAATGGTGGATTAAACAATCGATATGCATTGGCTTACTTACTTACTCCTGTTACTCCTAATGGAGCATAGGCCACTGACCAGCATTCTCCAACCCACTCTGTCCTGGGCCTTCTTTTCTAGTCCCATCCAATTCTTCCTCATTTTTCTCATGTCTATTTCCATTTCCTGGCATAATGTGTCCTTTGGTCTTCCTTCGACCTTGAGGATTCCAAGTGAGGGTTTGTCTTGTGACGCAGTTCGGTGCTTTCCTCAATGTGTGTCCTATCCACTTCCAGTGCTTCTTCCTGATTTCTTCCTCCGCTGGGATCTGGTTTGTTCTCTCTCACAGTAGGTTGTTGCTGATATTGTCTGGCCAACGGATCCGATGTATTTTGCGTCGACAACTGTTAATAAACACTTGTATCTCATAAATGATGGCTTTCATAGTTCTCCAATTTTCCACCCCATGCAGTAGAATTGTCTTGACATTTGTATTGAAAATCCTGACCTTGGTGTTGGTTGACAGTTGTTTTGAGTTCCAGATGTTCCTCAGTCGTAAATATGCTGCTCATATGCATTGGCACCTTTAGCTAATTCTGTTATATCCTAGTGAAGATTTAAATTAGGAGTAAGTTCTGTGAACTATTAGTGTAGTATACAATCACATTTTCTACCCCCCTTAGTTTTTAGTCATTTTTCCTCTCTTCTTTGCTATTGACCTTTTACTGATTTAATTTGTTTCCATACCTTTTTATATTAGATTTTATTATAATTTCAGTATTTTATTCTATTATTGTCATGACCTAGTGAAGATTAAATTACGGGTAAATTCTGAGAACTATTAATGGACTGATATTATACATTCACTCTTATTGTATAACTATTTAGTAACTAGATTATGTATATCTATGTTCCTCTTAGTATAAGCTTCATTCGACTTATAGACTATTACGATACGATTTACTATTCTTAAATTGTACTCACTTCACTAATTACGATCTCAATAGTTGGAATCACCAGTCAGTTGAAGCTAGACTACCATAGAAAACCTGGAAGCACTGAACGGTCGTTTCGTCTTAGTATGGTACCCCTCAGCAATGCGCATCCACAACCTCGCCTCGCGAGATTCAAACCCAGGACCTATCAGCCTCTCGGGCGAGCGCTTAACCATTAGACGATTGAGCCGGCATCCAACAGTGTCAATGTCTAACTTCAACTAATCCACGAAATTGCTCCACCTTATACCATTGTCTTCAGTGAGCTGATATCTCACAACAGGCCTGGTTGAACTCCACTTGTCACTGCTTCTCACTAGAACGCCAGGAAAGGCCTCTTGAAGCCAGTCACTAGTGGGCAGATGATTATTATTAGAAGGGGTTTCGTGAAGAGTTTAGAAATTTTAGTAGTTGAAATCATGAGTCAATCGAAGATAGGCCACCATGGAAAACCTGGAAGCAATTACAATCTCCCACGTTCACAGTCACTACAAATGACTTATGATCTCAACTACTAAAATTACAACAATATCCATAAGACCCTTTCTGATATTAAACTGTATGTTTGCTTGTTTGTTTATCTCTTGACTGAATTATTATTGATTTAATGGACTGTATGCTGTTACAGTGAATGAGATTTGTTCTACAAATTTGCTAGTTGTACAAGTTACACCACTTCATAAATCTTCGTATACGAATCTGAACTTTCTGTCGTTTGACGATTGTTAAATCAGCGCCTCTTGAACGATTAATTACTGGAGAAAAATAGCTTAGACCGATAAGTCTGTGGAGTTCAGTGAATTCGATTGATTTACCACACACTGTATTCTTATTATTTATTATTGGTGACTTTATTCAGTATTATATTTAAGGTACAATATAGAATTCTCAACACCAAGTATTTCAACAAGTTTCGTTCTCTTATTTCTTGGTCGATACTGACGATAAATATTGAGTGGTCTCCAGCTTGAAGTTAGCAGTTCAGGAATCGACAACCACGATGTCCCTGATTGGGCTTTCTTGAAATTTGTACAACGAAATTGTTGCGGTTGTTAGATCCCCAGAACTCAGTTACTGAATACTTTACTTTTGTAAATTTATTTTAAAATTTCGAATTTCTTGTTTTCTCGCCGAAAGCGTTCATTTTCACCTTCATGTCGCATTTCCGACTTTGGAGAATCTTGAACGCTCTTGGTTCGTTGTATCATTTAGGATGCTATTTTGTAATGCTTCCCAAGGACAATTTTATGCTATATATGAACGTTTGATTTGTGCCTGTTGTTATTGCTTGTACTTCTGGCTGCTTACGGAATATATTTCCCTATTTCGAACTTGAGCTTCTCTCTCTAGTTAGCGGGGCTGGGACACGTCAGAATACCTTGTTTATTGATCTTTCGTCACCGAGTATTTGTTCCATTCGCAAACTAGGTGAACTTGTAATCGCTTCAAACATAGCAGAAAGATTTTACACTTCACAGAAACACACCTAAATAGGTTATGCGAATAAAAGACAAACAGAAAACAGCTAACTTGTTGAACTATCTAGATGGTAGGCGACAAGTAGCCCTGATATTCAAGCAAGCTATCAAATTGTTTCTAATCATAGGATTCAAGTTTATTGTCTCTCTTGACTAAATTCTATTAATTTCAATGGTTAAAATCATGAGTCACTTGAAGCTACACCACCATGAAAAACCTGGAAGCACTGGACGGCCGTTTCGTCCTACTGTGAGACTCCTCGGCAGCGCGCATCCACGACCTCGCCCCCTGCGAGATTCGAACCCAGGACCTACTGGTTTCGCGCGCGAGCACTTAATCACTAGACCAATGAGCTGATCGTCATCCAAATGTGTTAATGTCTAACTTCAATTAATCCACGAAACTGAACGACACATCTACCATTGTCTTCAGTGAGTTACTATCTCACAACAGATTCGGTTGAACTCCACTGGTCACTACTTCTCACTAGAACTCCAGAATATACCTCTTGAAGCCAGTCACTAGTGATCATTCTATTCATTGATAATTATATATTTAGATATTATGATACTTTCAAATAAATCCATTTCATACCGAATTATAGTTGAACATAAACCAATCATTTGATGAATATCTTCACTTAGAAACCTATAAGGTCATTCGATTTGAATACCAGCATGATTTCATTCATTATCAGTTATGTTGGAAACGTTATAGTACATTATATGATTGTTTCTATCCATTCGTATGCTTCTACTTATCATTGAAGCAGAAGATCTATGTATTGAACGTTGAATAGCTTCTTATCATTCATTCATTCATTCATTCATTCATTCATGTTTATCTATAATCTGTTTGGAAGACGCATTAGTTTAGAAGAAGCGTCTAATTTACAAAAATCAAAATATGATCAGTATTTCCATCATAGAATATCTTCATCAAAATCCAATATAGATGTGAAACATTCTAATCTTCAAGTGAATTCACCATGGGATTATGAATTACAAAGATATTTAATACAAGGTGGACGTCAATTATTAACGCCTAAAAGATCACGCCATTGTAAACGTGATATACAAAGTGCTGGTTCACGTTTATTACAAGAATATAAAATAAAACAAAGTGAATATGAACAAGATATGGAACAGAAACATGATACTTCTCATCATGTTAATAAACCTGCTAATGATGATGATGATGGCAATGGTGACGTTGATGGTGATGATGAAGTTTGGAACATTGAATTCAATGCAAAAGATTATTCGTCTAAAAAACATTCCTTATCAGCTGATGTTAATACGTTACATAGAAAGGATAATATGAAATCATACAATTTACGTATAACACTCAATGATATCATACAAAAAATTGAAGATAATCAAGGTATGAACATTGATACATTCAATTATTTAAATGATGACAATAAACTGAATAAAAGTAAAGAGGATATTCGTTCTTCATCACCGTTATCCAATTCTACTTCATCATGTCATGCTCTGTTACATTCAAGTCTTCATACAAAGACATCACCAACATCATCATCGTCATCTTCAACACCAACATTTCCTTCCTCTTCATTCAATGAAATTCCTAATGATTCTAATGATGAAATCGATATGTCTAATGAATTCAAATTACATTCGATGAAAAAGATACGGGTAAGGATTATAAATAACTTCTTGTTTTCTTTTTAAAGAACATATTCTAGTGTGCTTCTATGAGTGTCCAGTCTTCTCATGAATGAATCAATTGAAGGTGCGGACACCACTGCTTCGGGTAACCGGTACAAAAAAATTGATGAATCGGTATAAAACCCTGTATGCTGAGGATATTTTGTTCGTTCTTGGCTTTTCTACTCGCCTGCTATGTCTTCTAAGATGTCGCGATTTAGTGGGAAGAAAAAGAGAGAATAGATTAGGTCCAAAATCATTTCTTAATATTCTAAATTAGATCACATTTTAGTCTGCGATAGGACATAGTAAAGAGGTCTAGCTTTTCAAGCCGCTCTTTGTATGGTAAACCACAGAGTTCTGGAATTGCACGGGTAGCTGACCTCTGTACTTTTTCCAGGATATCCAAGTCACCTTTTAAATAGGGGATTACAGCCTGAACGCAATTCCTAAGCTTAGTTCTCACTAAGTGAATATCCGTCTTGGAAGTATTAGGCAGTCAATAATAAATTGGCTTTCCTAATATCAGTCCAAGCGCATTACCATATCAAATTACTTAGACTAGTGATCGTATTGTACAGAAATCGGTAAACTTTACAATCACAAATAGAAAATTACAAATCTCGTTACAATCATGTGATTGGTTAGTGATATTTTTAAATATACCGGTATCACGGGAGGTGGGAAGGGGTGAAAGAGTGTGAGGGAGAAAAGGTGAATCAGAAGTCATTACTTACATGATGCATAGTAAAAATACATAACACTATCACAACTGATTGATCACTGGGTAGCAATCAATGTCATGCGTGTCTAGTCCTTTCCTGTTGACTACATCCAATCACCATCTAATTTCACAATAGTGCACTCAGTGTCAAGTCACATAGACTGATGGCCACATTGCAACATGATCGATAGCATTCGATTTGCACTAATAATAAGGACTAGACACACATGACATTGATCACCACCCAGTGATTAATCAATTGTGATTACATCTCAGTCCTACAGGATGTCGGTCGCGGCCCCGGTAGTTCAGTGGTAACGTCTCTGACTGTGAAGCTGTGTGACACAAGATCGAATCCACCAGGGAGCACCAGTTCCCTCAAGACTACAGTTACACCTTGCTGACGAGTGCGAAGTATCACGAAACCCTGGCCCAGGGTTTCCTGTCGACCACCTCCAACCACCATCTAACATAACACTACCCATTTCAATAGAATATTATATTTTTATAAATAATACTAATAATACAGTAGATAGAAAAAACTTTGACAGAATTCACGTAAAAACCAGCAGTTCATTTATAACATAAGAAGTTATATTACATAGAATGTTTAGTACAACTGAAAACCAAATTAAGTGACAACATTGAGAAAAGATAAACAAGATATGTAAAGCAAAAATGGATAGTGTCTAGCAGTGGAACCCAGTTTGACGGGCGTTTCGTCTGATCTGGAACTCGTCAACCGGATGTACCTGCATCTCACAGTTGATGTTCACTGTGGAACTCTAACCCAATACCGTCCGCTTCAAACGCCATCGTGTCATCCACTTAGTCACTGAGTCCTGATAATCAAGTGAATTTAAGCTTCACCCCATTGCACAAGCAAGGAACCATCGGGACTCAGTAGCTAATTGGGTAACGTGATGGTGTTTGAAGCAGACGATACTGGGTTCGAGTCGCAGAGTGAACATTAACTCTGAGATGCAGGTACATCCTGTAGACGAGTCTCAAATAGGATGAAATGCACGTCAAACTGGATTCCACTGCTAGTCACTATACATCTTTGCTTATAATGCTTGTAGATTTAGGCAGTATCGAGGCAATACATACAAGTCATATTCAAATTTTCTTCAAATAACGACTCCGTATCATAAATTAACCACCTCCCTACTTATTTTCAGAGTTGGAAAATAATGTGCAATACGGAAGTTGTAGTGCCTGGTACCATATCAAGCCCACATTGGTTATTCTAGCTTCTCCTCAAGCCATTTTTATACCGTCACCTATTCGGTTATTAACCCTAACTGTTTTTTATATGATCGTATATGTGTGCTAATTACTTACCCGATTCATTACATGTTTATAACTTATTTTTGTTTGACTATAAATATCGAGTCACGCTTGATTAAATTGAGTTAGCTCCCATGCCTTCTCTGATCCGTTTTTTCGCTCTCTCTTCTTCACCTTCTTCCCATCGTTTCTCTAATTGCGTGTTCCGATCAACGATTATATGAAAAATACGTATTCGCAATTCATTCTCGTATTTGACTTATTCAATTCCGTTATTCACTAACGTGAGTTAAGTCGATGATTATATACGAGAATCGGCTTCATGTACAATTCACTAACAATCATTCATAGGATTTAAACAGAGTCAGATATGCGAAAGTCAGTAAAATAACATTCATAAAACAGGATCAAGTCAGTCAAGGTGGCTATGCCAATCGATTTGTCGGCACTTTGACAGGACACACATTGCCTTACTTCAACATTGCTTAAGTGGTATTGCCACTAGTTGTCAATAGCATACAAAGACTCTAGTCAGTCCTGTAAAAGTACTTTGCATTTAGAAGGTACGTGGGACATTCCATGCTTAAGGACATTGATTGCCGACCAACTGAGTATTATTTGAATTCCCAGTGTATCATATCACATAACATGGTCGGAAATGGATATCAAATAGTATATCAGAATATTTGTAAAATGAAAATGTGATTAATTCTGAACTGTAATTCGAATCTTCACAATTTCATTTGTGATCAAATTAATTAAGGTTTTGATCGACTCAACCTGTGACTATTCATGTATTTCTTGGTTACCTCCTACGATTTTAGATATTCCTAGCTGACAAGTGACAGCCACCATAAATTCTAAATCTTGAATTTCCTGCTGTTTGATTTAGAGTACATAATATTGAAATATAGTATGAGACATATTGGAGCTGATCGGTCGTCTATGCTCCATTGGGGGTAACAAGCGTAAGGAAGTAAGTAAGGAGACAAGTTATCAGATTTACAGAGTTTAATCAGTGGCAAAAAAACTAGAGAAATGCTTAAATGTTCGATGTATATTTGCAAGATACAATGACTAATTTCAGCTCAACTCCTCCTGGTGCTCCTCTTGGGCTACTGGCGGTCCTAAGCCCGGATAAAGGAGGAGGACTGGGCATGGGGTTAGCGATCGCATCCCGTAGAAAACTAACTCGCTAAAAAAACACTAGTTTCAACTACAGTCAACCATTTATGTAATTCATTAATCTATTTCATAGTCTTATTGTTCTAATTTAACAATTTTCATTTCTGATTTGAAGGATTCTCTTTTAACTCTTATGTAAAGCAGTTCCAGTTAACTAGTGAACTATTTATTTGAATTTGTTTTAAGCCTATAAATCTATTTAAACGGATTATTATCGCTGGTCTACTACTACGTGCAACATTGAATCTTATCAGGTAGGTTTACTAGGAGAATGATATGATATTTTCTTATATAAAAATGAACAAATCTATGGTTGAAATATGAACATATTGACTATAATGATGAAATGTCATAGGCTTTAATTATCATCGATTGATGGATTTGAATACATATATATTGGTAAAAAAGGGGCACAGAATACATATGCCCCACACAAGTCACTTGATTTGTGTGTGGGCTGTGATACTACTCGGGTGTCCAGACCGAAGCAAGTGGTTTACTTAGGGGGCCACACCAGAAACCTTCGACCTAAAGGTTTAATCCACAAGACAGTGGAGCAACGTCAGGAGATGCAGTCACATGGTAGCCGATGACCAACGATTGGTTCATATGCCAATTGTTCCTTCAGGATCCTGGAGCTTATGCGTACCATTTGTTTGGAATGAGGGTTTTCCAACTGCCCTAGGTGGATCCTCCATTCCACCAACCCGGTTAAAGCATCGGACATTCACTTTTTCTTCTCTCAATTTCGTAAATAATAGCGTGGCCGCGAGAATCCGGTGGCTAGGACTTCCGTGACACGGGCTGTATACGCGTGAGAGCATTCGTAGAGGGAGAGCTGACTCTTCCCACCCTCGGGCGTATCAGGGCTTTTGTGGATAGGCTTTGATCAGAGAATAAGTTATGTTTACATATTCTTTAAAAGTTTTGAAATAAGATAAAGTCTATGATTGATGTTTAATGTCTTTATTCTCAACGGCCTGTTGGTATTGAGCATAATCATTATACAAGCCTGAACCAATATCCATTGTAACATAATAGTATCTTAATATGGTGGACATTTGTAGCTCAGGTGGATGATTTTGATTGACAGACTACCAAAACAATAACTTAAACAACGACAGGTTTAAGGTCAACAAGGATTATTCAGCATCGAGGTCGACAGGACAAGCTGTGAACCACATATGGAGAAATTCGAACACTTCACTTCTACCTGAAGTTTGTGCTGATAATGTTGTTCAGAAGAACGATGCAAACCCTACGACCAAACCATCCAGCTCGGAAAACAAAACTCCATCGAACTTATCTTGGTAGCTACATTGTGTTTATTAAATTATAATCTGTCACAGTGAACATTCATTACTTCACATGATTCACAAAAAATATATAACATTTTGGGAAGATGATAAAAACAGTTCAACCTTTCTACTAGATGAATGCAATTTTGTACTCATAACCATTTACAATAATGATCTTTAGTACTGCAACCATGGTGACAACATTGGCGATAATAATATTTTTGTGCACTTAAATACTTAAAACAACTAACTGTATACTATAATCGTCCAGAACTTGACTTTACTTACGTAATCCCTTTCATCTATAGCATAAATTAGATGAAGTTGACCTGCCTAATAATTTATGTTTTTTATTCATTATCAGTGCAACTGCCTGTCTGTGCGGAGCATTTTCTTATTTGTGACCAGAGTACGGTAGTATCTCTCTCGAATCCATCCTTTTATGTACAGCTTAAGTCCACCGTTATGTTGTATCTACTCATTTTCTCGCTATCGGATTGATTCTCCCATTCTCCCACACTTTCCGGATATTCCATGTACCTATATTATTTGTTGTTCTGGTTGTTAGAAAGGATATCGATCTCGTGAATTCTGAAGAATCTCAGCTTTCATCATGGAGCTTCATAATTCTTCTGAGTGAAGATCGTCCAACTCAGAGGGCAGAGTTTAAATGGTTCAAGCTTATTTTTCCCAGTTAAATTCGAAAACAAACCTTTTAATTAGGTTGTCAACAAATTAGATCCATACTGCCAATACATCAACGACACCTGAATAATCGTCGACCAGAATACTGGTCAAGAAGAACTCCAAGACCAGTCGGACAGTGTACATCAGAGGAGCACATTCACTGATGAAGACGAGTACGACAATAAATTAAATTTACTAGACATCTTTTTAAATAGACAGAGTGATGACTAGTTGCGTAGAAACGTGTGTAGGAAGATTACTTCTACCTGCCAATACACACACGTATATAATTTTACACCCATCCGTGACAAAAGTGATCTGGTAAGATACTTCACTTGCAGACCAAAGTAGATCCACTCAGTTGACACCGTAAAGAAGGAGCTGAAGGTAATTAATAACATACTGCCGGAGATTATTATTAGTGACTTCTTTTTTTCGAAACGTTCGGTTACCTGAGCTTTTTAGGAACGTACATGTATTCGGATTAAAATAGGTTGGAAATATTGAACTTTTGTAAGAAGCCTCTATTTTTAAAACTACACTTCAACAGAGTTGTGACTGGCAATGTTCTGTATGGCAGTTGTGTGGTTCGTTGATCTGACTTGTGTTCGATCGTATGATACTCTCATATATAATTATCGTCTTAATTTTGTTTAGTGAATAAAAGGATTAAATATGAGAATGACTATTGGATACATATATCGCATACACTCGTCGATTCAGGCAGACAGTAAGAGACATGAAGCGAAGAAGCTGAAGGCAAGTGAGCCAACTGCATTCGATAAAGCGTGACTCAATACTTATAGCCAGATAAAAGTAAGCTAAAGACATACAATGAATAGGACAAAAGTGAATAATTGACCAGGTCAAAATGTGGCCTAGGAAATGCAAATTAATTGGTCTGTCCGGAATGTAGAATAACCCATCTGTGCTTGACATAGTACTAGACGCTACAATGAATCGGCAAAGGGATTTTAATAAGACATTCTATACAGCCAAACTTAACATTTTCTATTAGACCAATTATATCTACTCAAACAAAGGATTACTTTCATGCATCTTATGAACTTAAATAAAAAAGAACAAATATAATAACAAACTTCATTTATCTCATGGATTCACCTTGTCTACCTACAACCTAAATCCCTTATATTAATCACCAAAACAAATATACACACTATGTGCTGGAAACGTCTAGAATAAACTGAGTTAAAATGTTTTTGATCGAGATCATTAACCAATTGATGTTAGACCACCATTAAAAACATGGAAGCGCCGAGTGGCCGTTTCGTCCTACTGTGGAACTCCTCAGCAGTGCGCATCCACCATCCCGTGAGCGGGATTCGAAACCACGGTCTTTAGTTTCACGCGCGAACGCTTGACCTCTAGACCATTAAGTCAGCGCTCAACGATGTTAATGTCTAACCTCAACCAATCTACGAAATTGCGCGACCGTCTTCCATTGTGATAGATACCTGTCTCTACCCGACACGGATTAGCTCCACTGGTCACAGCCTCTCACTAGAACTCCGAGAATTCCCTCACGAAGCTAGTCACTAGTGAGCATATGGTAATTATGAGTTTAGGGGTTGTGGGTTCGAATCCCGCGAGTGGGATCGTGGATGCGCACTGCTGAGGAGTCCCTCAATAGGACAAAATGGCCGTCCAGTGCTCTCAGATTTTCAATGGTGATCTAACGTCAATCAGTTCATGATCTCAATCGAAAACTTACTAATCTCTACAGCCCTTATACTGAGTTAAAATGGGGAAATAGAATAATATTAAGAGACTATAATCTGTAGGAAATAAAATTGTTTAAAAGTTTGCTTGTTTTTAGGTTAAATGTATGAATATTCTAGAAGAGTATGGAAACAAACAATGAATTTTCTTCACAAGACAGGAAATAGATTATGTAATATGTAAGCTCAAGAAATTATAATCTCACGAAAATAAGGTCACGAGGACAAAACAAGATTGATAACTTATAAGTAAACATGGATGATGGCTAACATTGGAATCCAGTTTGACGCGTGTTTCTTCCTATTCAGGACTTGTTAGCTGGATGTACCTGTATCTCAGATTTGATGTTCACTCTGGGAATCGAATTTAATACCGTTCGTTTCAAACGTCATCGCGTTACCCACTTAGCTAATTAAACCGTGACAACTACTTGCTTGTTCAATGGAGTGATATTGTTTACTTACGTGGTATTGTTTACTTGAATCTTTCCATGGATGTTTAGGACTGCAATTGATCGATCTCTTATTGACATATATGCATACTGTGTGTATGGCTTCGATATTACCTTAACTCAATTGCAGTTCTGAACAACAATGGGAAAATCTAAGTAAATAAAACCAAGTGAATTTAAGATTGATGACTGTTTGATTTTGGATACATAAATTCGGTTTACATCTTTTAATTGCATCAGCTTCAGGAAAGTGTAGGATTTTAAAATTTCTTTGTTTGTTGATTATTTTGCAACTTCAAATAACATGCCCATTCTCGAGCGAATGATGGGCAATCGCACTGTTGAAAATCCTCTGTCCTTTTACCCTCCCCCTCACTTTTGAAGAGTATGTTTGGAGATGCGGATTTAAACCCTCCTTTCTGTTCTGCTGATTTATGTGCTTGGATACACACATACAAATCGTTAAACACAAATTAAAGGTAAGATAATTCGGGTACTTTACCACATTTGATTGTCGCAGTGAGCAGTTGGTTTACCATAGAGACACAAACATTGTCTCTGGACACGTTCTTTTTAGTATTATCTTTAGTCTAAGACCAATACTCACAGTTATTTCATCTTCTTTAAAATCAAGTTTTAAGAAGACAGGCTTTTCTTAACTGTAGGATATTCCATTTCTTTTTTCGTAGTTGTTCCGTATTTATTCATGGATTTTTACGAGTAACCCATCTCACGTAAGTAACGTCCAACTATGGCTAATTTCCCCTTAATTCTACCCTCAGTGTATAATCTGAGTACTTGGTTGAATAACCAATATGACGTAAACCATAGTTGGACGTTTCTTATGTGGGAGAGGTTATTCGCAAAAATTCTTTAAGTAAATACAATTCGACAAGAAGAAAAAATACGGAATATCCCGTGGATAAGAAAAAGCCTGTGTACACAACTGATTTGGAAAGGATCAGATAACGACAATACACCTCTCTGTCATGTCCTGTGCCTTAAAAGGGTTGGTGGACACGGAGAGTCCACCTAAGGGAGTTAGTTGGAAAACCCTGATTACAAACCAATCGTGCACATGGGCTCCATGATCCTGAAGGTACAAATGGCGTACGAACCAATTACTGGTCACCAGCTACCACGTGACTGCATCTCCTGACGTTGCTTCACTGCCTCGTGGATTGGACCTTTATGTCAAAACTCGGCCCTCTAAGAAAACCACGTGGTTCGGTTTAGGCACTCGGGCAGTATCCCAGCCCTCACACAAATCAGGTGAATTGCGTGGCACATTTGTATTCTGTGCCCCTTTGTACAAATATTTATGTGTTTAACTAAGTAAATAAAACTATCATGGTACACGTGGTTGACAATGGGCATATGTTAAATAAAATCGAATTATTTCGAGTGATCTATCGTATACCTCCGTCATTTCTCAATGGGGTTCGATTCTGTCTCCTACAAATAACAGAAGCCATAGAATTCCAAACCTACTGCCTTCCCCAATCTGTTCATAAGGAATTCGTAAAATTCCTGTTGCCTTCTTGGTTGGATTTGACTTAAAAGGTTGTGGAGATTGTTGAGTTTCGATTGGTTTCATGAGTGGATCAACTTTAGACCAGCATTTAAAACCTGGAAGCACTGGACCGCTGTTTGGTCCTAATATGAGATTCATTATCAATGTACATGCGCGATCCCGCACGCGGAACTCTAATCCAAGACATTCAGTCTCGAGTGTGACAGCTTAACTTCTAGATCACCTGGATTCGAATCCTGTTTAAGGGATCGTGAATGCGCACTGATGAGGAGTCCCATAGTAGAAAGAAACAGACGCCCAGTACTTTCAGGTTTTCAATGGTGGTCTAACAATGATTCATTCAATATATCAATTCTAATATTCTGAACTCTTCATGTCTCTGGATTATTCTACTCGAATAACATCTTCAAACCCCAATCTTTCCGATTACTGAGATGGTGGAGAAGATTTGTAGCTCAGGTGGATTATTTTGATAGAGTTTTGTTCTCTGAGCTGGATGGTTTAATCCTACAGCTTTCATCATTCTTCTGAACAACATCGTCAGCACAAACTTCAGGTAGAAGTGAAGTGTTCGAATTTCTCCACGACCAAACCATTTCCGATTACTGTTTATTCTTTTACTACCTCTAGCACTAAGTGATTTGGATAAACAATCATATCTCAGTGCTAATACGGTATGGCAACTTGAACTGATCTACATACGTACAAAGTCCTATGTTGTTACTGATTGGCTGACTGACTGATCAAGATGCAATTACACCTACTTCAGTAATCAATGCTTTAATAAGAAACATCTTGAAAGAGAAAAAATAGATTCTTCTTTGTACAATTTTCCTTTCTTTTCTACTTTTTTCTGTTTACAGACCAATACAAGAATTGAAAGATGCTAAATTACGTAGTAAAAGTGCTCAAACGTTTGTTGAACTTCAAAAGAATATTGAAGTGAAATTAAATATTGATCATTTAGGATTTGATAAATATGCTTACAAAGTAAGCTAAATGTTGTTGTGTTCACCTTCATCTTTCTCTTGGTGATCGACTGGATCATGAAGACGTCAACATCTGAGAGGAACCTTGAGATATAGTGAACAGATAGGATGCAGCTGGACGATCTAGAGTTCGCAGATGATCGAGTTCTTCTATCGCACACGCAACAACAAATGCAACAAAATGGAAAAGCTAGATTCTCCGATACAACACAGCATGCAACAATCCAATCACAGTTGACGGAGAAGATTTGGAAGATGTAAAAACCTTCACATATTTGGGCAGCATCATTGATGAGCACGGTGCATCTGATTCAGATGTGAAAACGTGGATCGGCAAATCAAGAGCAGCATATTTACAACTGAAGAACATCTGGAACTCATAACAACTTTCTGTGAACCAACACCAAGGTCAGGATTTTCAATACAAATGTCAAGACAGTTCTACTGTATGGGGCAGAAACCTGGAGAACGAAAGTCATCATCCAGAAAGTACAGGTGTTTATTAACAATTGTCTACACAAAATACTTCGGATCCGTTGGCCAGACACTATTAGCAACAACCTACTGTGGGAGAGAACAAACCAAATCCCAGTGGAGGAAGAAATCAGGAAGAAGCACTGTTTATAAACACTTGTATCTTCTGGATGATGGATTAAGTAGTTCTCCAACTCTCCGCCTCATACAGTAGAACTGTCTTGACATTTGTATTGAAAATTCTGACCTTTGTGTTGGTTCACAGAAAGTTGTTATGAATTCCAGATGTTCTTCAGTTGTAAATGTGCTGCTCTTGCTTTGCTGATCTGCGCCCTCACATCTGCATCAGACCCACCATGTTCATCAATGATGCTGACCAGATATATGAAGGTTTTTACATCTTCCAAAGTCTATCCGTCAAATGTGATTTGATGGGTGTTTGTTGTGTTGTGTCGGAGAATCTTGCTTTTCCCTTTGTGTATGTTGAGACCTACTGATGCTGAGGCTGCTCCTACACTGGTCGTCTTCTCTTGCATTTGTTGTTGTGTGTGCGACAGATGAGCCAGATCATCTGCGAAGTCTGGATCGTCCAGCTGCATCCTAGCTGTCCAATGTACCCCATGCTTCCCCTCAGAACTTGATGTCTTCATAATCCAGTCAATCAATAGGAGAAAGAGAAAGGGTGAGAGTGAACAACCTTGCCTGACACCGGTCTTTACTCCAAACGTGTTTGTCAACTGTTCTACATGCACAATATTGCATTTTTGTCCATCATAGGAATTCTATATGATATTGACTATCTTCTGAGGCACGCCGTAGCATCTAAGAAGCTTCCATGGTGTTGTTCTGTCCATGCTATCATATGCTTTTTCGTAGTCAATGAAGTTGATGTAGAGTGATGAATTCCATTCAATTGATTGTTCCACAATAACGTTATATAGTTGTTTCATATTTCCTTCTCTTGCAGCTTTTTCCGCCGTCGTTTCCAGTTCTTCCACGTATTTCTGTCTGTCGACCTTAATGCTCTTCTTCATTTGCTTGTTTGATTTTGTATATTTATCTTGTATCTTGATTTTCTCTGCTCTTGTTTAACTGTTGTTAATTGCTTTCTTCTTGTTCCTCCTTTCTTGACCCTTTTCCTGGGTCCCGACAGAGATCCATTCATCATGATGATGCTTGTTGTGGTCCAGAACCTCCTAACATCTTGTAGTTAATGCTTCTTTGCCACCTTTCCAATTGTTCTCCATAGTAGTTTCTTCTTCTTTAAACAGATCTTGTAAGACTTGGAGCCTTTTAGTGAAAACTATCTTGAATTCGTTAAGTTTGTCAGTATGTTGAAGGAAGTCTGTATTGGACCTTTGTAATGCTGTTTGTCCAGCTATCCAATGCTTTTTTAGATTTAGTTTCATCTCGGCTACAAACAGGTGATAATCTGAAGGTATGTTAGCTCCTATCCTGGTTCTCAAGTCTTCCATTGACCTTCTGAATTTTTCAGTGATGTAAATACGATCGATCTAGTTCGCAGTAGTGGGATCTGGTGAGATCCATATAGATTTTTTGTGTTTGTTTTTGGAGAAATATTGTGCTGCTTATAACTAATTTTTCGAATGCACATAAATTTGTTAACCTATATCTATTCTCGTTCCTTTCTCCTAGTCCCCATCGTCCCATAATATCTTTATGATCGTTGTGTTTCCATTCCGACTTTGGCATTTAGTTCTCTCGTTAGGTTAACCAAGTCCTTTCATGAACACTTCTTCACAATCAAATGCAACCTCTCATAAAACTAATCCTTATTGTCATCATTTGTATCATTGATAGGTTCATAACACTGGATCTCATTCATGATGATCCCCTTTTTCTTCGTTATAAGTCACATCGTATCATTCTATTGTATCACTTCATTTACTTCTTTTAAAAAATAGATCAATCGTGAAAAATATCTTACATATGATGCAGTGAAAATACTCACTTTACCAAGTAAATATCGTACAGAATCAATGATTCATTCAGCGACTGTATCTGTTATTGCTACAACAGAAGCATTCAGTGAATTCCCAATTGCTATGCAAAAAGCAATTATAGAAAAAGCATGGTATGAAAAGTAAGTTAATCATTAATTTCTTAAATATAACAATTATCATGTTAGTAATCAATGGAAAAAATTAAAGTGAACAAGCTTTAGGTGGAGAACTTGATGGTGTTTGAAGCGATGGGTACTGAGTTCGAGTCCTGGAGTGAACATCAACTCTAGGATGCAGATACATCCAGCTGACTAGTCCCAAATAGGACGAAACGCGCATCATGGACTCTACTGCTAGCCACTATGCATCTTTGCTGAAAAACCTTGTGTCTCAAGGCTATATCAAGGCGATCCGCACAGTATGCACATATTATCGACAACAGACTGATCAATTGCAGTCCTAAATAACAATGGGAAGATACAAGTAAAACAACACCATGTAAATTTGAACAAGGTTTAGTGTTTGCCTCTAATTATGCAACTGATTGAATAGTTGTTGGCTGGAATCAGTCAACAGGAGGATCTGGTCTATTTGTCTATAATCTTTAGGAAATTGATGACCTCCCTAGGGTTCGAACATATGTCACTTTATATCATAATCATGGACTTAACCATTGAGCTATCCGGGTCTCAGTTAACCTCTAGTAAGTCTGAGATATTTACTCTGGTTGGTTATTGGGTTGTGACTGATATTTGTAACCACTGTCGATTTAGTCCTTGTATAGGATAGTAAGTAAATGTGTTAGTTATACAGTAATAACAAATAAGACAGGTCATAACGTTACCAGTGAAGCTGTAATTGTACCGGTTTCATCAATATGTCTTTGATGGTTGATGGAATCTGTGAAATTATCCTTCATTTAGCTTCCCTATTTAGTTTTGTTATTCAACTCAACTATCTCTACAACCCTATACTGATAAAATATATCGCTTAAACCCAGAATAAATTTATGTTCTCAGTTGAGACTTGAACAGTCATCATCTGAGTGACAATTCGTCACACTATTTTATGTATTTTATTAACGACTGTCGTACTGCGGTGGGTGAGAATACAACCAGAGGGACCTCAAGGCGGAATTACGGAGTTATTTGGTAAAATTTGAATATCGTGCGTTCAATATTTTATTTGCAAAATATCTATCAACTGTTTCGGACTTTCTTGTTCCTTCATTTCCACACTAATCACTCTTTATTACCGCTCTTTTCTATTCAATTTTCTCAACATTCTGCTGCTAGGCACTCCACTTTCGATGGATGTTGCATACTACTGTAGATCACTAATGTTGACGATTTATGTCGAACGTTTGGGAGACTACTGGAGTTAGACGGAAATAGTGCGACGAACAAGCTAACGTTGAAGTCGCACCTCGCGGTCAACACCTAACTTGGATTACCCTTTCGACAGATCAAGGTTCTATGGCTGCTTTGAAGTCCGTAGAACATAAAGAACGTTATTACGGAAATATATTAGTAAAAATAAGTACAAGCGAAAGTATGACCACTACCGCATGGGCCAGTCCATGACGTACGACTAACTGATGCGCGTTGGTTGTACTTGACCTCGACGGGGATCGACGAACTGTTCGATATTCAGTTACCCAACTGCCAGATGATTTGGCTAGGGCTCAGTGATATTTCACTGACCCTACACTACTTATATCTGTCAACATAAGTAGCCCATACTACAGTAGTGTATTTCTTTTTACTGTTGCGTTGTTCGATTTACTGTCTCTCTAATCTGTTTCAAGTGTTATTTTTCAATGAGTCATATAACATTAACTTTGAAAAGCATAATTTCCTTTGAATATTTTCCTCAAAATACATTCTACAACTATTTCGAATTATCTTGGTTAATGAATAAAATGTTTTTATAATCAGAAGACTTTTGTGAGGATTGCAGTAATTTAATAGTTAAATTCATGGAGTTCTGGTAAGAAGTAGTGACCAGTGGAGTTCAACTGAGTCTATTGTGAAATAGTAAGTCACTTAAGATAATGGTGGGCGGTGGTGCAATTTCGTGGATTGGTCGAAAATCGATATCAACACTGGTGGATACCGGTTCATTGGTCTAGAGATTAAGCGTTCGCGCGCGTCACTAATAGGTCCTGGATTCGAATCTCGCGGGGCGTGATCGTGGATGCACACTGCTGCGGAGTCCCACAATGGGACAAAACGGTCATCCAGGTTTTCCATGGTGGTCTAGCTTTAATTGACTCATGAATTCAATTATTAAAAATGTATTTACTTGGTTAAGCATCAATCTACAAAACCAAATATCCATGAATTAATTTTTTCTTCCAGATATGAAGCGAGACGAATGATAATTCGACAAGGCCAACCACCATTAAATTTCTACTTCATCATTTCAGGTTCTGGTAAGTTTTATGAAACATACCCAGGATCTGGATCATTGACAAATTGATTATTAGATATCAGCTGTAATAACTAATTCTTTTATCACTGAACCTGGGTTTCATGCTACTTGGCACTTGTCAGCAAGTACATCCCAGTCATATAGAAGATCGTTTGTGACCAGGACAACCCAGTGGTAACGTCTCTGACTGTGAAGCTGGGTGACATGGGATTGAATCCGTCAGGGAGCATCAGTCCTCTAAGATTACAGGTATACCTTGTTGACGAGTGTCAAGTAACACGAAACCTAGGTCTAGGGTTTCTTATTGGATCCCAGAAATGGGATAAATTTTACTACTTGAGATTTAGTATAATCTAATACTGATAACTTGATCGAAGTTCAACAGTGAAAAATCATACCCTGATAGAGATCCATTCGATTAGACAGCCCAATTCAGAGAATGGAACTCCACTAAAATGTCCATTTGAGGAATGAATTTCTTCTACCACCTTAAAAATAAACTTTATTGACATAAAGCCAAATCCATAGAATTCATTGTTATCAAAAAAACAGATGCAGTTTCCATATTGGTAACTGACTTTGAAATAGATTTCCACATATCCTGGTTAGTAAATCATTAGTAAGTGAAGTTAACCAAATCACAAATAAAACAGTTACTAGGTGATTTTTCCGCATCAAGATAGTACTTTTCATGAATCAAGGCTGATGTCTAAAAAATAGGATGTATTTGTATTATTAAATGCTAGAGAGCAATATCGTCTAGCATAGCTGAGATTGTCAGAAACGTTTTTAATGTTCAATGCGTTGTACTCAGTATTTAGGCAATTTTCTACCTGACCGTTGCTGCTACTTTGACGTGGAGCACGGCTTGCCTATCATAATGAACCGATCGAGCTATACTGGTTGTAGAAATTGTTTCTCCAGGCCCTACCATGCCAAACAGGTCGATTGAAGAACGGTTAGACTAAAAGCAGTGAACCCAAGGTCCGAAGGCGAAGTTGTACTGCTATTTATATAAAGGTGTGCCTTCAGTAAGGTGTTTCATTCAAGCAACCAGCATAACAGCGATGATGCCTTCTCACAAAGGAAGGGTAGGATTAGAATAAGTCGACCCTAAAAATACACATCTCACCTTATCTCACGGAAATCCGTCTCCGGCGGTAAAATCGCAACAAGTACGGAGTCAACACTAAAAGGTCGTGTATGACCGGTCTCAAGCAATTATCCCTTGAGCACTGCAGTCACGCTTTCAGGTCACTAAGACCACCCCTAACCCAATTTACTTTTCAGGTACCTCCAGAAGAACCCTTCCACAGTGTGGGGACCAAGAAGTGATAACCGCCCTCATATCTCTAACAGCACTCAAGATCACTGTATTTATAATCAATCATCCTCTTCAATTCACATTCATTTACTAAATCAGAGCTGGATATTAAATCATAATTCTCATTCGAGACATCATTTCAAACGTTATCTTTCACTGTATTCGTGTATTTTTTTATCCAGCATGATAAGCTGCACTAAGCCCATATATTGAGCACTGAAAATGTAAAGAATCATAGACAGCTGATATTCATTTGATAAAGATCAATGTAAAAGAAAAACACACTTTAACTATAATAGTTCCATACTAATAAAAAAGCATGTACTGTGTAGTAATTACTCAGTAACTTTATTTATTTAGACACATAAACATTGGTACAAGGAGGCACCACATAGATAAGAGCCACATAAATCATTCGATATGTGTGAGGGCTGTGATACTGCCCGGGTATCCAGACCGAAGCAGGTGGTTTTCTTGGGAGGCCACACCTGGCGTCTTTGATCAAAAGGTCTAATCCACAAGGCAGTGGAGCAACGTCAGGAGATGCAGTCCCATGGTAGCCGGTGACCACCAATAGGTTCATACGCCATTTGTTCCTTCAGGATACTGGAGCCCATGTGCCCAATTGGTTTGGAATGAGGATTTCCCGACTCCCTTAGGTGGACTCACCGTGTCCACCAACCCAGTTAAAGCACAGGACATCCACTTTTCATCCTCTCAATTTCGTAAACAACTTCGCTATGAGAATTCAGTGGGTAGGACTTCCCTGTCAGTGGTTGTATGCGCGTGCCCATGTGAGAGCATTTGTAGAGAGAGAGTGGACTCTCCCCACTCTCAGCCATACCAGGACGTTTGATGATATTACTAAGTAAACTTGATATCATGTGAGATAACTATACATGTTAACCTTTTTAATCGAATAAAGATTCCGTCTGAAACATAATTTAAAATCCTCAAATAAGTCATATCATTACAGAAGCACTTCGTTCTATTGACTGTTAAACTTAAAAAAAACGTTTACTCATAAGTTTAACTGGTCGAAATCATGAGTCAATTGAAGCTAGATCATTATGGAAAACCTGGAAGCACTGGACGGCAATTTCTTCCTAATGTGGGACTCCTCAGCAGTGCGCATCCACGATCCCGCCCCTATGAGACTCGAACCCAGGACCTATCAGTCATGCGTTTAACCAGCTAAACCACTGAGCCAGCATCCAACGGTGTTATTGTTTACTAATAAGATTAAGGTGTTTGTATGGTTCTTATCTCTTAACCTGGTCACATCATTTCTCTTAGTTTGTGCTCAGTTTTCATGACAAAATGATGAAAACTCCAAGGATTTTTATTTGTCAAATGACTATATGACCTGATTAAATAGTTCTGTTGAAATAAGGTTAACTTTATAGTGTAAAACAAATATGGGTACAAATTTTGAAATACAAACTTTGACAAACGTTTGTGAATCAAACTTATCACAACTGATTGATCACTAGGTGGTGATCAAATATCATGTGTGTCAGATCCTTCTTAGTGCGAAATCGAATCTTATCGATCAAATTATAATGTGATCATTAGTCTAAATGACTTGACATAGCCAAATTCATCTACTATAAAGATTATCTAATGAATATAAAAATGTTAAGATCATACATAGAATTGATCAAGGTTAATTCCGTATTATAACCACAAAATTTATGCTGTATAGAGAACATATTGAGTTGGGTGCTACTTATGTTGACATAAGTAGTATTATATAAGGCTAGTGAGGAATAGAATGTCTAGCAGAAGAAGGTCGAAAAGATAGAAGAGAAAAAAAACGGGAACAAAAAGTAATTACTATGAAAATGCAGGAACGATGATGTCTGAGACGACTGATTGACATTTTGTGAATGAAATATTTTCTTCTGTATGGTTCTCAGACTTGACTAAGACGTTCTGTAAGTTTGTGTTCGTTCACTACAACATAACCTTATAAATTTCTTTCCTTGTTATATATAGTATGCTGACCAGTGATTAGAAGTACTAAAGACAAACTGTTACCGTTGGAGTTTAATCGTGTCGGTAATTAGAGTCTTATTGCTGGTGGGATGAACCTTTATTCTCAAAGTATCATTTTCATCGTGAAACATGAATGGTGCCGCATTCTTTCTAACAATAATCTGGTAACCTTATAGATGTTACTCTACAACTAAAGAAAAAGGGTGATAATGGCCAAAAGGAATATTATACTTGAAGTTAAGTATAGAGAGTGAAAGGTGGGACTTCTAGATTGGTGATCTGGAGGAAGAAAAATATATCAAGTTTAATGTCTTAATAGGTTGATGATGATGACTGACGAAATGTCTCCAGTTAGTCATGTTCATCGAAACCAACAAGGTCAACATCAATATTGAATGCTGACAAAGCTATTTATTTTGGAAAGCTACTACACAATCTAGATGGGTACACTTTACGGAATAGTTTTCTTGTGTTATCCCCATATAACAGTAATTCTCCAGTTAACATCTACGAAACCTATCCTTCAGTCTTTATCAGTTAATAGTTCATGTATTTTCTTTTACTCTTTTTAACTTTCAGTGGTTGTTAGTGTATCAAGAAAAAATAAACAAACAGGAGAACCTTATGAAGAGACTGTAGCTTTTTTAAAAGCTGGACAAAGTTTTGGAGTAAGTATTCTACATATTACTTAATTACTTACGCCTGTTACTTCCAATGGAGCATAGGCCACCGACCAGCAACCCACTCTGTCCTGGTCCTTCTTTTCTAGTTCCATCAAATTCTTGTTCATCCTTCTCCGGTCTTCCTCTTCTCCTTTGTCTCCAGGAGGAGATATTCTACATATGTATGTATATAATACAATAAAACTTAGCGAATACAACTTAAAGTATATCAATCTTATCCTCTGAAATATATTCCTCATTTTTTGTATTGTATTTATCTTATCCGTGTTATCATTTGTTCAACACCATTCTTTGAAATACTTAATGGTTGAACAATTCAGCTGCATTGTTACTTTACGTCTAATCATCATTATTATCGTCCGAAAAGCCACCACTTAGACGACTTCTTTTTACATTTCTAGGTGATGTTCATCATTTGTTAACTTAAATTGAGAAGTATTATTAACAAATAGAGATATGTACAGAAACCATGATAAAGTTCATACATGTAGAGAATGAGAGAACCCAAATGCCTTGGTACGGCCGAGAGTGGGGTGGGCCCACCCGCCCTCTCGAAATGCTATCACATGGCCACGCGTATATAGCCTCTGCCAAGAAAGTCCTATTCATTGCCTTCTCGTGGCGGGGGTGTTGTTTACGAAAATGAGAGGACGAAAAGCGAATGTCCGGCGCTTTAACCGGATCCTAAACCAATGGTGTACATAGGCTCCAGTATCCTGTGGGAACAAATGTCGTATGAACCAATTATTGGTCACCGGCTTCCATGGAACTGCATCTCCTTACGTTGCTCCACTGCCTTGTGGATCAGACCTTTAGGTTGAAGGCTCAGGGTATGGCCCCCTAAGAAAACCACCTGCTTCGGTTTGGGTACCCGGGCAGTATCATAGACCTCACACATATCAAATGAGATTTGTGTAGCGACTATGTATTTGATGTCTCCCTGTACCAATATCTATGTGTTAAAATAAATATATAAATAAGACAACCATTGGTTATAATCACTGAGCTAATATTGAGAATTAATTAAGGTTAGAGTATTAGATTACAACTTAATAATCCAAAGTTTAAGTACTAATGTGGTGTGTGCTACTTATGTTAACATAAGTAGTATATAACACTAGTCAGAAATAGAATGTCTAGCAGAAGAAGGTCATGAAGATCAAGGAGCAAAAAAAACGGGAACAGAAAGTAATTGCTATGAAAATCCAGGAACAATGAATTCTGAAACAATCAATGAACATTTTGTCAATGAAGTATTTACTGTGAAGTTCTCAGATTTCACTAAGATGTTCGATTGTCCCCACTGGTGTTCTCATTCACTACATCAACACCAAAGCCATAAAGTATCACGTTTGATCTGTTTTACAATATCATCACTATGTACTATTGAGTAGTCTTGCACTAAAAACACAACTGAAAATATTTCATAATGAAAACAACTTATGCATTAAATCAGACGAGATTTCATGGATATGATAGTAATTTTCATAATTGAGATCATAAGTCAATGGAAGCTAGATTACTATAGAAAACCTTGGAACACTGGACAGTTGTTTCACCCTATTGTAGGACTTTTCAGCAGTACACATCCATGATCCCGTTTCCCCACGAGATTCGAACCCAAGACTTATCAGTATTGCGCACGAACCCGTGACCCCTTAGATCAGCTGTCCAATCCTTCCAAATGCTCCATAATGGTCTAACTTCAACTCTATAAAACTGAGTTTCTTTTTTTCTTTCTCTTACTGTTATTCTTCTTATTCATTTTATATACAGGAATTAGCTTTAATTTATGGTGGTAAACGTAGTGCAACTATTATATGTAAAACATCCGTCGAACTATTAGTTATGTCACATGATGAATTTAATAAAATCTTTATGCAAAATACTCAACATCATGAAGCGGAGCATATAACCTTTTTACGTACTATCCCATTGATACCAAACCAAATTGTAAATCATTTAAATGGTGTGGATAGTTCCATTTTATTATTTACATTTTTTAGGTAAGTTATAAAGATAATTGATTATTATCAGAAAGGCGGAGGGGGTTGTGATAATGTTTAGTAATTTCAATGGTTGAAATCATGAGTCCATTGAAGTTAAACCATCAGTAGTCTAATGGTTAAGTGCTCATGTCTGAAATGGATAGGTCATGCGTTCGAATCTCGCGAAGGATGAGATCGTGGATGCGCACTGCTGAGAAGTCCCATACTAGGACGAAACGGCCGTCCAGTGCTTCCAGGTTTTCCATGGTGGTGGTCTAGCTTCAATCGACTCATGATTCCAACTATTGAAAAAATTGATTAATTTTTAAAATTTTATTTATGGATGACCTTCGGACGAAGCTTGGGTGACCTTGAGATGCATTAACCAATCAGAAAAGAGTTGGTATTCAGTAAAACTTAGATTATACAATACCAAAGAATTAGTGTGGATACACTTCTTTTATATGGATCAAAAATTTATCCAGGTTAGGAAAAGGTTGATAGTTTCTAAAATCGTAATGTATATGATAGAGGAACTCATCCGTATAGCTCCATAATAGTCGGCTTCTGGAGTTATGATAAGGTAGTAAAAAGTCTTTCAACCTCCAGCACATAGCTTGTGTGTGCATTTCAGTTGTTGGGTCCACAAAATGCCGTTCATGGATAAAGGCACGATGCACATGATCAAGTCTATGTAGGTATATGTATGCTCTCCAAATATCCGTATATATTGTAGTAGTAGTAGTAGTAGTAGTAGTAGTAGTAGTAGTAGTAGTAGTAGTAGTAGTAGTAGTAGTAGTAGTAGTAGTAGTAGTAGTAGTAGTAGTAGTAGTAGTAGTAGTAGTAGTAGTAGTAGTAGTAGTAGTAGTAGTAGTAGTAGTAGTAGTAGTAGTAGTAGTAGTAGTAGTAGTAGTAGTAGTAGTAGTAGTAGTAGTAGTAGTAGTAGTAGTAGTAGTAGTAGTAGTAGTAGTAGTAGTAGTAGTAGTAGTAGTAGTAGTAGTAGTAGTAGTAGTAGTAGTAGTAGTAGTAGTAGTAGTAGTAGTAGTAGTAGTAGTAGTAGTAGTAGTAGTAGTAGTAGTAGTAGTAGTAGTAGTAGTAGTAGTAGTAGTAGTAGTAGTAGTAGTAGTAGTAGTAGTAGTAGTAGTAGTAGTAGTAGTAGTAGTAGTAGTAGTAGTAGTAGTAGTAGTAGTAGTAGTAGTAGTAGTAGTAGTAGTAGTAGTAGTAGTAGTAGTAGTAGTAGTAGTAGTAGTAGTAGTAGTAGTAGTAGTAGTAGTAGTAGTAGTAGTAGTAGTAGTAGTAGTAGTAGTAGTAGTAGTAGTAGTAGTAGTAGTAGTAGTAGTAGTAGTAGTAGTAGTAGTAGTAGTAGTAGTAGTAGTAGTAGTAGTAGTAGTAGTAGTAGTAGTAGTAGTAGTAGTAGTAGTAGTAGTAGTAGTAGTAGTAGTAGTAGTAGTAGTAGTAGTAGTAGTAGTAGTAGTAGTAGTAGTAGTAGTAGTAGTAGTAGTAGTAGTAGTAGTAGTAGTAGTAGTAGTAGTAGTAGTAGTAGTAGTAGTAGTAGTAGTAGTAGTAGTAGTAGTAGTAGTAGTAGTAGTAGTAGTAGTAGTAGTAGTAGTAGTAGTAGTAGTAGTAGTAGTAGTAGTAGTAGTAGTAGTAGTAGTAGTAGTAGTAGTAGTAGTAGTAGTAGTAGTAGTAGTAGTAGTAGTAGTAGTAGTAGTAGTAGTAGTAGTAGTAGTAGTAGTAGTAGTAGTAGTAGTAGTAGTAGTAGTAGTAGTAGTAGTAGTAGTAGTAGTAGTAGTAGTAGTAGTAGTAGTAGTAGTAGTAGTAGTAGTAGTAGTAGTAGTAGTAGTAGTAGTAGTAGTAGTAGTAGTAGTAGTAGTAGTAGTAGTAGTAGTAGTAGTAGTAGTAGTAGTAGTAGTAGTAGTAGTAGTAGTAGTAGTAGTAGTAGTAGTAGTAGTAGTAGTAGTAGTAGTAGTAGTAGTAGTAGTAGTAGTAGTAGTAGTACCCGGTTGCATTTATTCGCGTATAATTGGTATTACCGTTGTAGCCTGTCGGTTTCTAACCCATTGGAAGCGTCGTATATTCGAAGGACCTGTGAGATATTTTAACATGAATGCTACTTACCCAGTCTACTTTAACACTATATCTTCTGTTGAATTTACGTTTTCTGTCAACTGTTTCATCTATTTCAACGATTCTCCCGACTCCTTCAAACAACTCGTGTATGTTTGTCATTTTTGCTGCGCATATACCTCTACAATACTTATACCACTGAACAGCCGAAGCTTCGGTAACATCTGCAACTGTTACAGCCAGTGTTATTAGTGCATTTGACTATTCAGTTCGCAACAATTATCATAACTTGCCTTAGTCTCAATCTAGATCGAGAGGAAAAAGTTCCTCTACTAGTAGGTTTCTTCCACCAACATATGTTGCATCGAAAGACAATATCATCATGGTAGACTGCACAAGGTCCACGAGTCATTTGATTATCACAATCACGAATAAAAGAACTTCTTAATAGTCCCATTTGTTGTAACTGCTCAATTATTACGTTTTCTTTTGAAATCCTCTGTGAACCGATTTTACTTTAGCATAAGGTAATGAGATTGACCCCGTCACCTTAAAATCCCTTAAACGCTTCTGATTGGATCGTCTATAAATTATAGTGCCGCCGAATTTACTCAAATATCTGGTAAACTAACAAGTAGGGAGAATTTTCCTCTTAGCCTTCAGTATGCTATACGTATCTAATGACTACTGACGTATATTAATCTTATGAAAATGAAGGTTTAAAAAAATAGTCATCTGGCGACAAAACAGTTTGTAATGACCGCTTTTTTTTAGGAAATAGAATGAAATTTAATTCTAAATAAATTGATTAAATTGGGTTCAAAGTTTTTGTGGAATGGAAAACATTTCATCTCGTAAATATCTGGTTACTATAGCTTACTTACTTACCCAATGAAGCATAGGCCACTGACCAGCGTTCTCCATTCTACTCTGTCCTTGGCCCTCCTTTCTAGTCCTGTAAAATTTTTGTTCATTCTTCACATGCCTGTCTCCATTTCTCGAAGTCACGCGTTCTTTAGTATTCCACTTTTCCTTTGGCCTTAGGGATTCCATGTGAGGGCTTGCCTTATGACACAGTTGGGTGCTTTCCTCGATGTGTGTCCTATACACTTCCAGCACTTCTTCCTGATTTCCTCCTCAACTGGAATACGGTTTGTTCTCTCCCATAATAGGTTGTTGGTGATAGTGTCCGGCCAACGGATCCGACATATCTTGTGTAACTAACTGTTAATAAACACCTGTATCTTCTGGATAATGGCTTTTGTAGTTCTCTAAGTTTCCGCCCCATACAGTGGAACTGTCTTGACATTTGTATTGAAAATCCCGACCTCTGTGTTGGTTGACAGACAGTTGTTTTAAGTTCCAGATGTTTTTCAGTTGTAAATATTCTGCTCTTGCTTTGCTGATCTGCGCGTTCACATCTGCATCACATCCACCGTGCTCATCAATGATGCTGCCCAAATATGTAAAGGTTTCTACGTCTTCCAAATCTTCTCTGTCAATTGTGATTGGATTGTTGCATACTGTGTTGTATCGGAGAATCTTGCTTTTCCCTTTGTGTATGGTGAGACCCACTGCTGTCGAGGCTGCTGTTACACTGATCGTCTTCTCCTGAATTTGTTGTTGCGTTTGCGATAGAATAACCAGATCATCTGTGAAGTCTAAGTCATGCAGCTGCATCCTAGCTGTTCACTGTATCCCGTGTTTCCCAAATTTAGTTTGACACTTAGGAAATATTCAAAGTCGTTCAATATAAACAAACCATCTTCACAAATAAGTCATATTATGAAAGTAGACAAGTACGAAGAAGTAATCTCTCTTAAAAATACCAAAATATTAGTTACAATACTGATTCATAAAGAATCAAAGACAAGTACTTCAACTAAGGTAGTCTGATCAATCAGATGAGAAATGCATCTGTTAACATCTTAAGCCTCATTTATATGGTGATAACATGATTTGTTTTACAGCCTTGTATGAATTCACAACGTGAACTATTGATCAAATCGAAACAAGAGCCAAGCAACTGTTCAGTATTTGCAGATACTTTTGAAGATAATCTGGTGACCTTCTTTATTAATAAAATAGCCTCATAAGTCACCTATGTATATTTGACTTTAGTTTATTCTCGCTTAACTGTATATTTATGTACTTCACTTAATTGTTGCTTCATTTACAGACGTAATGTAACCATCTGTATTGATAGTAATCAAAGTAATTGGATTTATATTGTTAAAACAGGACAATGTAGAATTCTTAAAGATGTTGAATTAAAACCGAAACATTTAAAGTCAACAGTTAAAACGCATAGACCTAAAACTGAATTCCAGTATTATTTTAATTCGTCCAAACACCATGAGAAATCAAAAGTAAGTTAGCTATAAGAAAAAAACTTAACTCAGTTAAATGTATTCCTGAATTCATGTATTATCCCCTTGTAGATTAGTAAGATTAGATTTCTAAAACGTCTTTGTTTAGAATTTATTTTAGTTGTTTTTTATTTAAACATATAAACATTGGTACAAGGAGGCACCAAACAGATAGGCGTTACATAAATCATTCGATTTGTGTGAGGGCTGTGATACTGCCCGAGTGCCCAGACCGAGGCAGGTGGTATTCTTAGGGGGCCACACCTCGAGCCTTTGACCTCAAGGTCTGATCCACAAGGCGGTGGAGCATCATGAGGAGATGCAGTCCTATGGTTGCCGGTGACTAAAAATCGGTTCATACACCATTTGTTCCTTCAGGATACTGGAGCCCATGTACATCATTGGTTTAGGATCCGGTTAAAGCGCCGGACATTCGCTTTTCGTCCTCTCAATTTCGTAAACAACAGTAATTCCAGGAGAAAGCAGTGAGTGGGACTTCGCTGGCAGAGGCTGTATACGCGTGGCCGTGTGAGAGCGTTTCGAGAGGGAGGGTGGACTCTCCCCACTCTCAGCCATACCAGGGCATTTGCGGGCGTTTAGAATTAAATCTTACTATGAATGTCAATAATACTGGGATATGGATTATATCCAGCTGATGGATACTAATTATGAGTGAATAACTTCCAGTGGTTTTGTTGCACGCCACAATTTCAATTAAGTTAAACTTGATTAAATCCTTTCTGGTTTCAGAAATCATTTCTCTTAGCTTCGCTTTTTTGTGTAGATATGTCTACTACTTACTAATTTTGAGTAGTTTGATTGATATTAAATAATTTTACTGGCATGTCTGTCCTGTTTCTTTGTTGTAATAGTAATGATGAGTTGTTTGTGAAAAATGGCAAATCATTGCAGTAAATTGGAGTAAATAAAAGTGAAAACAACCAACTCCGTCCGCACGTACTTTTACTAAGATGTTCAAATATATATATATTTTATTTGTAAGATAGTGCCTTCCTGATTCCATTATTTAGTCATCTCTGAGTAAGCGTCCTAGTAAGTTGTTTGTTTTGAACGATAATTGAATCGATAATTCTCTCACCTAATTTAGCCACATTCCACTGACTTGTAGTTCCTCTTAAAACCTTATTGTTATTCATTGACTTCAAAGAGGTAGATTCTCGGCGACTGTTCTTTTGATGCAATGATTGATTCCTGAACATCTCACAATTTGAGGTTTATAATTATCTAGTTCTTATTCTATCTTTCATGACAGTATTATACTCCTGTCTATTGATCACTACGTCTTACATCCATTTCGAGCTCTATCTTAAATTCCTTGAAAACATAATATAGACATATTGGAATAATTTAGCTCCATGATGCATATTGTTACTCTAGTGCTATATTTAATTAGACATTATTTTGACAAACTTTTAAGTGAAAAGAATGTGGGTTTCCGGTACTAGTTTGTATCTCTGGCTATAAAGATTTCTATTTGTCGAACTTGATCTTTATATAATTATTTACGTAATCAACTTCATTCTTATGAATAGGTTTTGTTTGCATCCTCAATTTTTTAAAGAAATATTTATACTACTTGTGAATAGTATGAAGTTTTAAATTAAATTTTCATGCCAGCCTAGTAGTACCAAGCCTAAGAATATGTAGTTCATAAACTAAACAAAATTCATAGAAAAACCAACGATATGAAACATTTTGAATCTTTATAACATTTTATTGAGAAATTGAAGAATAAAATTAGACAGGGAATTTCCATACGCAGTTCATAGTTTACACCTTATATTAGTTTATAAGTGTTCTCTAAAGAATAACTTATAACCGGAACAAAATAACTTCTACCTGAAGTTTGTGCTGATGATGTCATTCAGAAGAATGACGAAAGCTCCACGACTAAACTATCTAGCTTAGAGAACAAAACTCCATCAAATAGCTTGTAGTAGCTCCATTGTATGTAAATTCGAATTCATCTTTGAAATTCCAAAAAAAATTGTAAATGTCATTTCGTTTATGCACATCACAAATAATTCATAATATTCTAAATAAAGATTTTCCATTGATTGTTGATTTCTCGGGCAGTTGATTCAAATCATCTAACCTGAGTAATCTTTTATCATGTGAACCTCAGTTATAACTGGTATCTTACGAGCGGGTTTAAGGAATACTTACGGATGATAGAGTTGTATGGTCTATTTCAAGGAGTCAGAATTTACTAGTAGCCACCATAACAAGCTCTCAGTTGTCGTCTGTTCATCAATAATTCTTCAACTACTGTTTATCCATGATGGAACTTATCATCACATCAAAGCATATTTCTTGATATATTCTATCTATTTAAAGTTAGTAATTTCGTTAATTGTAAATGAATGATTTCAAGACTGATTAATTGATCACGGGGTGGTGATCAATGTCATGTGTGTAAACTCGTTCGCTGACCGAATGGCTCAGCGGTAACGTCTCTGATTGTGAAGCTGGGTGACATGAGATTGAATCCGTCAGGGAGCACCAGTTCCCTCAAAATTACAGGTACACCATGCTGACGAGTGCCAAATAGCATAAAACTCGGGTCTAGGGCTTCCTGTCGACTACCTCCAACCACCATCTGGTTTCAAGACTTATGTATAATGAATATATCTGTATTATCTTATGATGAGAGAATAATCTAACGAACCACATTTTACTGATTCAATATACATAAATCGATTTTGATGCATTTAATTAAACGTCTACTATACTACTAGTTACTTTATGAATGAAGGATAACTGCTCCTTTTTTTAATGTTCGAAAAAGTCTAATGTCTAGCATTTTCAAGCAATTTCCTATTTAACTGATAGTTATCAATTGTGACCAACTTATGTCCTCTGTTTTTATACACAATACTCACTCGTTAAATGAATGGAAAATTACTACAAAATTCTTGATATAACACACAGATTAGACAATGAGAGACAGATATGCTACAAATTTATGAACATATATCCTACTCGTATCAGACGCTGGCTCAGTGGTCTAGAAGTTAAGCGTTCGTGAGCGAGACTGATAAGTCTTGGGTTCGAATCTTGCGAGGCGGGATTGTGGACGCGCACTGTTGAAGAGTCCTACAATAGGACGAAACGGCCATCCAGTACTTCCAGGTTTTCCATCGTGGTCTAGCTTCAACTGACTCATGAAATCCATAGACTGATAAGGTTTGGTCAGTTCTCTAGATATTGTATTCTTTTAGCTGGATTATTGAATAATGAAATTTTCACTATCTTTCTACAAAGCATGATCAATGTAAACATCACCTCAGTAACTAATATCGGTGAACATTTATATTTAACAATCATGTTCGGTTTCTTTTTTGCTAATCAAGCGTATTCATTTTAATGGAGTTTTATTCTCTGATTTGGATAGTTTGGTCATAGAACTTTCATTTTTCATCTGAACGATATCATCAGCACAAATTTTCAGGTAGAAGTGTTCAAGTTTCTTCACAAATATAGTTTCACAGCTTGTCCTATAGACCTTGATATTGATTGGTTATTGTTAACCTTTAATTGGTTACATCCCCTATTGGTTTATATTTTTTGTTTTTACATTTGTCCACTAAAACAACCATCCAGCTCAGAAAACAAAATTCTATCAAAATCATTCACTTAAACTATAAATCTTCTCCATCATCTCATCAGCACATACACTTTACATTGTGTTTTATTAGAAGATTTGAATTGCTAAATGAATAACAGTTTGACATTTGAAGAATATTATCAGAAGTAGTTTTGTGGAGATTTTAGAAATTTCACAGATTGAAATCATGAGTCAATTGAAGCTAGACCATCATGGAAAGACTGGAAGCACTGGACGACCGTTTCATCCTATTGTGGGACTCCTCAACAGTGCACACCCACGATTTCATTCCATGAGATTCAAACCCAGGACCTACCAGTCCCGCGCCAGGCGCTTAACTAACTAAACCACTGAATCGGCTGGCATCCATCGGTGTTAATGTCTAACTTCACCAAGTAGGTCTTGGGTTCAAATCTCGTGGGGTGCGGGATCGTGTATGCGCACTGCTGAGGAGTCCCATACTAGGACGAAACGGCCGTCTAGTTCTTCCAGGTTTTCCATCGTAGTCTAGCTTCAATTGACTCATGATTTCAATCTGTGAAATTTGAAGAATACTATATTATTGACTGAATTATTTTATATTAGTAATATCTTGATCATTCTTTTTCTTTCTTTCTTACTTTCATCCCTTTTCTCCTAGTTGAATACTCAAAATTCATCTAAGAAATCAGATAATAAAAATGTTAAAATATTTATAGAATTGAAAATATTGGAACCAAATAGTGTATTTGTAAGTTCATATTTTGCAATTGATTAATCATTGGGTGATGGGTGATCAATATCATTGTATATCAGGTCCTTCTTAATGCAGATCGAATCCTGTCGACCAAGTTCCAATGTGGTCATTAGTCTAGGTGACTCGATATTGCGTGCACTATGTTGAGATAAGATGGTGGTTTGAGGTAGTCAGCAGGAAAACCTAGACGTAGGTTTCATGTTACTTGGCATTGATCAGCAATCTGTACCTGCGATCTTGAGGGAAATGATGCTCCCTGATGAACTGGATGCTGTGCCACAGTCAGAGACGTTATCATTGAGCTATCTGGGCCCTCAAGATTGCAAGTACACCTTGTTGACGAGTGCCAAGGTTCAAGGTTTCCTGTTGACTATCTCCAACCACCATCTTAAGTCCATTTTTCTCATCCATTAAGGATGTGCATTTAGAAAACTTGTTAGTTAGTTAGATTTATTAGTTCCGTTTAACTCTGTATATTACACATAAGTTAATCCCATCTGAGCGATGGCTGTCATGAGAAGCCAAGTACTGAATAAATTGGATGAATTTATTTCAGACACTCGTTTGATCAGACAGATGTCAAAGATGAGAAGCGGAAAAGCCAAATACACTGAAAGGAGAAAACAAAGATATCAATCCCATTTGATGAAGTGTGACTCAATATTGATAGCCATATATAAATAAGCTGATGACATTGACAAATAGGGTAAGCAATACACACACACACTCAAATACAAATAATTGATTTTATAAACGAATAATTGACAAGGGAGGATAGTAACAAAAGAAAAATAAACCAATTGATCTATCAAAAAGCTAGAATAACCCATGTAGGAGTGATGTCACAGTGTTGTGTATGTTACTGATGTCGATAGATATAAGTAGTATGTATCATTAATCGAAAGTGAAATGCCTCGCAGAAGAAAGTTAAAAAGATCAAAGATAAAAGAACAAGAACAGAGAATGATTGATGTAGGGACGAAGGAATGATCAAGTCTGAGACGATTGATTGACATTTTGCAAATGAAGTATATACTGTATGGTTCTAAGATTTCACTAAGATGTTCTGTAATGTTGTATTCGAATACATCTGATTGTCCCCACATGTGTTCTCGTTCACTACAATAGTATCAGATATTGCATACTCCTACTCTTTCCTAATTATCTTTATTTTTTCTTTATCTTATAAATGGTTTAGTTTGATCTTTATTCTCCTTATACAAATATCATAAGAAGTTAGTGTATGAACAGGCTGTTCAAAATGTATCTGATTGAGATCATGAACTGATTGATGTTAGATCACTATTGAAAACCTGGAAGCACTGGACGGCTGTCTCAATCAAAAACTTCATAATCTCCACAAACTTCTTACCGACCAAAATGTATCTCCCTTATATATAACATTATTTTTTTTTGTAAATTTCATCTTATCATTCATTAATTAGGGTCTAGAATCTATTGCATTTGAACCATTCGGTGGTACAACATCCGTTTCATTAGTATCCGATGGAGCAGAATGTGTTGCAATTAATAAAAAATTCTTTATTGAACATTGTCCAACAAATTTTTTAAATTGGTTACGATCTAAAGTAAGTAATAAATTATGTTGTCAGTGTTTCCAGTGGGTACAGTTTATTCATTTATTTATTTGAACATATAAACATTGGTACAACGAGGCACCAAACAGATAGGCGCCACATATATCATTCGATTCGTGTGAGAGCTGAGATACTGCTCGGGTGCCCAAACCGAAGCAAGTGGTTTTCTTAGGGGGCCACACCTGGGGCCTTCGACCTAAAGGTCTAATCCACAAGGCAGTGGAACAACGTAAGGAGATGTAGTCCCATGATAGCCGGTGACCAGCGATTGGTTCATATGCCATTTGTTCCTTCAGGATACTGGAGCCCATGTGAACCGTTGGTTTAGAATCAAGGTTTCCAACACCGACCCGGTTAAAGCACAGGACATTCGCTTTTCGTCCTCTCATTTTCGTAAACAACAGCTCTGCCGCGAGAAGGTAATGAGTAAATCTTCCCTGTCAGTGGTTGTATACAAGTGGCCTCGTGAAAGCATTCGGAGAAGGATAGCTGACTTTCCTCATTCTCGGCTATACCAGGGCATTTGGGGGCTGTGTAGTGTCAGGGGTGGGATTCGAACCCATGCCAACATATTGGACGTGATGTGGTGTGCGCTACTGATGTCGACAGACATAAGTAGTATGTATCATCAATCGAAAGTGAAATACTTGGCAGTAGAAGGTTAAGTAGTTCGAAGAAAAGTGAATGAGAACAGATAATTATTGGTGTGGAAACGAACGAACAGTGAAGTCTGAGATAATTGGTGGATATTTTGCAAATGAAGTATTTGCTGTATGATTCTCGGAATTTGTGTGTTCAAATATATTCGATTGTCCCCACTTGTGTTCTCGTTCACTGCACCTGTATTTGTTAGAGGTTTCTAATATATAATGATGTAGCGGTAAATAAATCCCCAAAATCAATAGCTCTGTAAGTCTTCAACATTTGATGCTGATCACATTGGTTTTGGTGGACCCACCTAAATGAAGGCGCCCGGTCACGCATGCGTATCAGATCACGAGTGAGAACGCCGTGCTCAAATCTCCTGCAACTGCTATCCAGTTTAGATCAGTCATTTCTCGATATATTGATAACCTATCAAATATATCGTCAAATCTCCTCGCTTCAGACTTTTGATTTCACTGGGTGGGCACGATTCAAATACAGAAGATGCTACTGGTTAAAGTGTTGTCAAACTACAAGTACTTGTAGCACCAACAATTAGAAGCATCCCTTATTAGTTATCTTGATTCGCAGTAAAATTTGTCTTCAAACTGTAGTATGATTAATGAAATAGGTTTGTTTAAATTTCTTTCTTCAAATGATTATCATAAATTTTAATCTTTAAAACGAGTATACTTTCATAGTTGAATTCATGAACCGGCTCAGTGGTCTAGAGGTTAAACGTTCGTGTGCTAGACTGTTAGGTCCTAGGTTCAAATCTCGCAGGATGGGATCGTGGATGCACACTGCTGAGGAGTCCCACAATAAAACGAAACGGCCGTCCAGTGTTTCTAGGTTTTCCATGGTGATATAGCTTCAACTGACTCATTATCTCAACTATAAATACACTAAAATCTCTAAATAACCTCTTCTGAATATATTTTTTACATTTAAACAGGTCCAACCGTTTCCTAGTGTTGAAGAGTTGGAATCAAAATTGAATACTTATCGAGAGTGGAAAATTTATCGTAATCATGTAGTTCGGGACAGCACTTCTGGTACTACATGATGTGATATATGGATCATTTTGATAATAATTAATCTTATCGGTCATATATATATTGCAAAGCTAATATAATTTATTATGTTCATGTTAAAAGGCTCGGCTTTTACTTCGTCTAATGTTATAACGGTTGGGTTTCCACGTTGACACGTATGGGACGTTAATTTACCTTAAACGAATATTTAAACTAGATTCCCTCTCAGTGTCTACTCCACAGGACGTCAACACAACTCAGGTCAAGAACTCGTGATTAGCCTGACTAGAATGGAAATATATTTCCACACCAAAACCCAACACAATTCAACAACAATGAACAATCATTAATAAGTGAGTAATAATAATGATAAGGATAAGGGAATATATAAATCATCTGACACATCTGTCAGACTATCTACATGTCTGACTAAGTAGACAACCGATCATTATCATTCTCCCCATACATCCGTTCATTTTATAAAAGATAAAAGAAATGTTTTTTCCATTTTTGTGATTACTGTTGTAAGGGAATTGATAAAACTAATTGATCATAGAGTAATAGCCATCCTCACGTTTATCTAGTTTTCCATGTCGATCAAATTTAAATAAGACCAAAGGTCTAAGCGATAAGATATCTCGTAAACTATGTTGTGCTGTCTGGTGGTTTAAGGCAATCTGTATGTAACGTACATCAGTGGTAATACATATATAAAAGGGATCAAAAGAAGTGCATCCCAAGTGACTGAAAAAGCTATCACTCTTCTTCACCACACCCTTAAATGTATGTTTCTTTGTTTATTTAGTTCATGTAAGGCTGCCAGACAATCAAAAACATACTACAGTAAATCATGTCTTCATATTAGGTACTTGACTTGAGTGAATGCATAAAGAGTGATGTCAAATGACTATATATATATATATATATATATATATATATATATACCGTTCTACAAGATGTTATCCGTAAGGGCTCTATATAATTATTGTAAGAAATTACAAAGTATTTAAATAGTACATATACATAGTCGTCAATTATCCATTTACATCTTTCGGCTTATTCTGCTATCCGAACTGTCTTCTCAACTGGCCTTCAAGTGTTCTAGCGGCTCCGTGCTTTCGATGCATTGAAACTTTTCACTCTGTCCAACAACTCTTGCAACTTTGATGCCATATTCTGCTACACGTCACTTGCAAATATCCTTGTGAATAATGTTCACGACAGTAGTCAACATCTGCCTGAAAAATAAGCTGTTCGAGGAGGTTCAAAGAAGCTCAACTTGACGAGTTAGTTGTGTAAGTGGAATCTATCGTCTATTTCGTATAGAAGTTCTTAAAGTGAGCTGATCATTATGTACAAATTGATACAACTTAGCTAGCGCCGTCTATTAGAGAAGAAGTTTGACGTAGACGCTAGCATGTTCACATACTCATAACCAAATGCATCCCCGTTAACTTTATATTTCATATTGAATCGTCGACTACACTGTATATTGGACAACAAGTAATCTTCTTAACTAGAAGTTGTACTGTGGTTGCCATCTAGAATCCGAATTGCTTATGGTGGATGGTATGCTAACAGCCAGTATTCAACGTATAGTACACTATTTTCAAAACCTTTTTAACGGCTGCCGCGATTAAAAAACAGACGAGCGACGGCCAGGTACGACTGGTAATTTCAGTCGCTTACCCAAAATGACAATTTTTTCAAACAATTGAAGGTCAAACGACAGAGTCCAAAAATCGATAACAAAAACAAGTGACGTTATGCTTCAATTTGTAATTCTCATTAATATAATGAGCCAACTACGGCACATGTATACATCAGTCAGCAGGACTTGTCACGATCAGGTTCAGCCAAAGTGGACATTCGAGATACAATAAACAGAATTTCGGTACAGACAAGTAAAACAAAGTTTCCCCATACTGCTACTCCTTTGGCATTTTTATAATACTCCCTAATCAAGCATCTTATCAAACGCTTTTCGAATAGTACGATAACAGGTAGATTTGAATGATACATTAACGACAGTCGACCTAAAGAAAACAATCCAATTTGAATTTGATCTGTTGATTGGCTTAAATAAGCCTTTTATCACTCGTGGGATATGGACTGTCTAGTAAGAATCTCCTATTAATTCTGTCCTCAGTACGCTTTTTCAGTCACTAGTATTTGCCGTTCTGGTGAGCGGCCTATGCTCCTTCACGAGGAGTAACAGGCGTAAGTAAGTAAGTAAGTATTTGCCGTTCCTTCTTTTAATTTCGCTATTCTTACCAACATATGTTCTTTTATTCGTCGCTTTTACTTTTACTTTGAGATTCCATTTTAGCGCTTTCCTTGTGATATACCTTGATGGTTTATACTGTGTCTTATCTACCTCTCAAAGTTCCCTAATTTCACTCTCTACTAAACGTTGGCTTCTTCCCTGTAAGTTATGGCTGCAGTATCTGCAGTATCTTATGTAGACCGTTGTTTGTAAATGCCTGTATTATTCTGATATAGGTGGAGATAGTTCTCAAATGTTCAGCTGTGCAAACTAAGACTGTCTTAACGTTGATGTTAGAAACTCTGACTATAGTCTTGGCTGACAGCTATTTTGAGTCCCAGATATTTTGCAGATCTAGGAACCACATATTCCGTTAGCCAGTCCATGTCTTCACGTCTACTTCAGACCCCCCCCCCTTGTTTATCAATGATGCTGCACAGGCATGTAAGAACCCCCATCTGACCCAGGGCTTTGCCTTCATGTGTGGCTTCGTTGTTGATCACCTTGTTATTCCTCAAGTTCCTGCTATTTCTTTTATGTGTTGAAACTTACTGCTGTGGAAGCTATTGCCACCCTCTCAGCCTTTGTCTGCATTTATTACTGTGTATGGAGTGAAGGGTCAAACAGTCCAACTGTGTCCTCTGCGTCCTATGTTTTTCCTGAGACATGGAGGTCATCATAACCCAGTCAGCAGCTGACAGAGTGGGAAAAGGAGGGAGTAAGCAGATTTGTCTGATGCTAGTCCTCATTCCGAATTCGTCTGTTGGCCCGTCGTATGAGTTCTATGTGATAGTGAAAATCTCTTCCTGTACTCACAAGTTCCGAAGAAGATTTCGCAATGTATTCCTACTCACAATTTAAGATACTTTCTCATAGTCAAAATAGATTATGTATAGTTATGAGTTCCATTCAGTCAATGATTGTTCAACAATAGTTTGCAATGTCAAAATTTGGTCAGTACATGATCAATTATTAAGATAGACAGCTTGATGTTCAAGTTCATCATCTACTGAATCTTTCATTCGGCTTAGCGAAACCCAGTTGAGAATTTTGTTTGGTACTAACAGTTTAAATTTGAAAATACGTAGTAATGCCATCAAACATGGCACAGTGAATGATTCAGTGATGTGCCTTAGTTTAAGTATGTCTAAACTGGGTAACGGACAAAACTTTTTTAGTGACGGAAAAAGCTTCACAAAGCCATGAAGACGATGCACTGTGAATCGATAAATATGAGTACATATTAAACAGGGTATACTTGAACACACTCAGGAAATCGCTCTGATGCTGTCTTAAGTAGGACGAAATGAACTTGTAAGATGGGAATCTCACGGATCCAGAATCATCAAAGCATCATTCAAGACAAAGAAGGAGGGAATTACAGTGAATGTTATCTAGTGCTATGCACCCACCAATGATAGCAACAACGACATTAAAGACCAATTCTATGAGAGGCTGCAATCAATCATAGAGAAGTGCCCAAGGAAGGACCTCACCATTCTGATGGGAGATCTAAATTTCAAAGTCGGAATAGACAACACCGGATATGAAGATATCATGGGACGGCATGGATTGACTGAGAAAGAGAAACGAAAATGGGGAAAGATTTGCAAATCTGTGTGCATTCAACAAATTGGTCATAGGAGGCACAATATTTTCACACAAATACATACACAAAGCTACATGGATCTCACCGGACCACACCACAGAGAACCAGATAAATCATGTTTGCATCAACAAGAAATTCCGAAGGACAATGGAAGATGTGAGAACTAGAAGAGGAGCTGCTATAGCTTCAGATCACCACCTAGTTGTAGCCAATTTAAAACTGAAGCTAAAGAAGAACTGGACAAGTGGACAAACAGCAATACAAAGGTTCAATACAGCCTTCCTTCGAGATACTGACAAACTCAATGAATTCAAGGTAGCTCTCAACAACAGGTTCCAAGCCTTACAAGATCTACTGAAGAAAGAAGAAACTACTATGGAGGACAACTGGAAAGGCATCAAGGAAGCAGTAACTTCAACGTGTCAGGAGGTTCTGGGCCTAAAGAAGCACCATCATAAGGAATGGATCTCTATAGAAACACTGGACAAGATCAAAGAAAGGAAAAGCAGGAAGACAGCAATAAACAACAGCCGAACACGAGCAGAGAAAGTCCAAGCACAAGCTGAATAAATAGAAGCAAACAAGCGAGTGAAGAAAAGCATTAAAGCCGACAAGAAGAAATACGTGGAAGAACTAGCAACGACGGCGGAAAAGGCTGCAAGGGAAGGAAATATGAAACAACTTTACGATACGACGAAGAAACTAGCAGGGAAATACAGTAAACCAGAGAGACCGGTCAAAGACAAAGAAGTCAGGCCAATCACTGAAATTCAAGAACATCGGAACAGATGGGTAGAGTACTTCGAGGAACTCCTGAATAGGCCGGCTCCAACGAATCCACTGGACATCGAAGCAGCACACACATCTTCCTATAGATGTCAATCCACCAACGACGGAAGAAATCAAAATGGCCATCAGACAAATCAAGAGCGAGAAAGCAGCAGGACCTGACAACATACCACCTGAAGCAATGAAGTCTGATATCGAAGTAACTACAAAAATGCTTCACCTCCTATTCAAAAAGGTTTGGGCGAAGGAACAAGTGACGATGGACTGGAAAGAAGGACACCTCATCAAGACTCCAAAGAAAGGAGATCTAAGCGAATGTGAAAACTACAGAGGCATTAAACTAGTGTCAATACCAGGAAAAGTCTTTA